TTATTTTGGATTTTTTTCTATATTGTGTTTCAATATTAATAAAATCAGCTTTTACATTTACTTAATTTATACTTTAACATATTAGTAAAGATAACTAAGGAAGATCGGGCAATCTACTTCCATAGTGATACCTTCTCGGAAACTCAAGGAGGGGTTGCTACGAGTCAGATCTGATTTGACGGCAGTGAGTTTGGTTTTTTTGGTTTTTGAAAGATAACTAATGTTTTGTGAAAATTTAATATACATACACATAAAGGCTTCATTCTGAGTCACAATGTAAAATGCATTTCTTACTATGCATCTTTGTAAACTGGTGAAATGAGTTCCTTTATGTGGCCTTTTACCTTGGTTCTTTGGAAAAACAGCTTGAGAGATTTTTCCCCAAGCCCTGAAGAGTTACCTTTGCCCTAGTTTTCTACCCCAGAGGGTTTGTTCCTTTTGTCCACATTGATGGACATTTCCTGGGTAAATTGTAAACAACTTGGTTTGATTCTTTCGCCCTTAGCTACATACTGCCCTGTGATTGGTATGCACTTTGCAGGGATTGGTCAGTAGGTTATGCAAATGAGGTTACTGTGGCCTTGCCTACTTTGCATATGAAGTGTGTGCCCTACCAGCGGGGATTGGTCAATCTGTGGCCCCTGGTGGAAGTGCTTGCCTTGAACTTGACAAGGATTTGTGTATTTAAGTAGCCAGCCCCACAGAGATTTGAGACAGAAAAAGCAAGAAAAGAAGTAGTAGGAAGAAAGCAGAAAGAAGAAGCAGGCAGAGGAGGCGAGGAGCCTCGTGAAAGAGTTGTAGCACCGGTCGAGGACTAGAGCACAGAAGATGGTTACAGACCTGAAAGGGGCCCAGACAGAGAGCCGGCAGGGCCGAGGAGAACCTGGCCTTGGCCCAGAGGAGCTGAGAGAGCTGTTCTGCTGTGAGAAAGTGAGACTGCCGACATGCTTTCCGATCCCTGAGTTGGGGCCTGTTGATCCTGATCCCACGTTGTACCCTGTTCCTTAAGAAACCACTTACCTGTAAGTACAGTTGGTTATTTCTGTGAGACTTTGCAGCACATTGCCAAGCCCAGAACGGGGGAGGGAAAAGTGCTGAAGGGAGAGAGAGTGGCCGTTGTCAGACATGGAGTGGTATAGCAGCTTGGAGAGAATGTGGAAATCTGGGATATGTTTGACCTCTGCCTCCCAGGAATTGGCTCTGTGCTAATTTTGACTGAAGTTACTCAGACATAAACAAGAAGAATATTAAAATATTTTTTCTGGACATTCTGCAGTTTTGATTTTTGATGTCCTCTTTGACGCAAGGGAGCTCTGGTGGCATAGTGCCTAAGGCATTTGACTGCTGACCAGAAGGCTGGCAGTTCAAACCCACCAACCACACCTTGGAAGGAAGACTGGGCAATCTACTTCTGTAGAGATACCTCCTCAGAAACCCAAGGGGGGTCGCTATGGGTCAAATTGACTTGATGGCAGTGAATTTGGTTTTTTTAGGTTTGACCCAAGAGTTGTTTGAGAGAATTTTTAGTTTTTTGTTCCACTTTTTATTATTCAAATTTTATTTTATTGCATCATCAACATAGAATGTAGTCTAGGAACCTATACTGTTTCTCCCTATTGGGAAAAACATGTTTTCTGTATTCCTAGTGTGTGTGTTTACATATTAAAATTATGTAGCTCATTTGCATATTTAATAACTTTTTAGTTTGAAATAATTTCAGACTTACAGAAAAATTGCAACAACAAAAAGAAGTACAAAGAATACTTATATACCCTTCTTCCACGTTCCCCAATTGCTAACATTTTACTATATGTGCTTAATGATTCATTCTCTTTTCTTTCTCCCCCATCCTTCCCCACTTTTCCTCTATATATACCCACAAGCATACAATATTTTTCTGAGCCATTTAAAAATAATGCGTGCTTTTTTTGCCTACTTGATGTGACATAAGTTAATAAAGGGAGTTAAAACCCCTACAATTGCTGTGTTTTGATCCATTTCTCCTTTTATTTCTTGTAATTTTTAGTTTTCATATGGGAAAATGGTGTAGTGAGACATCTGAACACCTCTAACTTCACAGGTGGGAGGAGGAGGATCAACAGGCCAAGGCTGATTTTTTGGGGGTGGTGGTTATCCAACCTTATTACTGATTCTGACAACAACCATCCCTCCTATGACATTATCTACTCGGCTGGGTTCTGTAATTCATTGCAGTGGCCACACAGAACTCACAGGCAGTACTCATGATTATGGGGTTTATTAGGGAAGTGTAACAGGTTGCAATTCAGGATCAGAAACAACTCAGGATACAGTTCTTCGGTCAGGACAGCCTCTTCAGCAGTGCCCACAGGAACGCCTCTCTCTGGCTCTTGGCTGGCTGTGTAACCCTGTGGCCTCTACCCTGCTTGGGCAAGAGTCAGAAGCTCCTTTAGCTCTGTCAGGTAGGTGTTCAGAGGCACCCCACACTGCTGGTAAACGTCCTGTCCGAAGGAATTCAGCTTTCTCACTTCGTGGCCAAGAAGCTCGCATATTTGCCTTGTATTAATCTCTTGCCTCTGCTGCCACTTCTTGCCATTGCTGCAGTGTTACAGCCCTCTGTCTTCTGGACCGAGGAGGTTCAGTACAAGAATCTTGAATCCAAAGGACATACTCCACTCCCGGCTCTTCTTTCTGGATGGTAGACAGATCCCCCTTTCCTCCTCTGGGATGGCTCATTCAAAGCCTCGGTGGATGGCGGAACTGACCATTCTCCAAGTTAGGGTTCCATACATCTTATTTGCTAACCTTGAGTGTGAGAAGATATTTATTGAACTTCCTCTGCCTATAAGGACCTTTTCAGCTAACTGGAGAACCAGAACTAACAAGCTGTAACAATTGGAAAACAGTTGAAGGTTAAACTGTGTGGTGCGGACTATCTGTAATTGGCTCAAGTTAGGAAAAGGGAAAGTACATTGTTTTTAAGAGCAGTAAAAAAAAGACGGTAAGGAGGAAGCCAATAAAAAGAGAATTTAAATAAAGAAATAGAAATCTAGAAGCAGACAATTACAAAGAGGAAAAGTAGGAATGAGGATGATTTGTCCCTGGGAAACTATAAGGACACTTCCCTTATCCAAACCAAGAGTGACTGGTCGGAATGAATGGGAAATGAATGAGTTAGCTAAGGCAGTGTCACAGAACTTTGGGAAGCTGAGAACCTTGTGGAGCACAGTTCTCTCCTGTGGCCTGTGTGTTGACAAAGTGAAAAAAAAAAAAAATCTTGAAAGCTACAAAGAAGATTCCAAACTAAATTTGATAGAAAATAAAGAACCATTATCATCTTAACTTACTAGCTTCTTATAAGCAAAAATCATCTGAACCATTGATTTTACTTATTTTTTAAATACGGTGTTCTCAGATACTCTGAGATTCTATGATACTTCCAAGCTTTCCCATTCACACGTATTAATATGACTTTTTTTCCTCAGTTCAGAGGATAGTGGTTGATTATCTTTTCTCTGTTGGCCATTCACTCAAGTTTTATTTATTTATTTATTTTTTTATTAGGATTTGGGTGAAGATTTACAGAGTAAATTCACTTTTCATACAGCAGCAGTTCACATATACTTTGTCTCATGTCATTGACCAAAATTTACAATGCAGCAGCTCCCCTCCCACTTCCTCCCCATAGTTACCTCCTCCCAGTGTCCATCCCTTCATACTCTTCTGCACCCTGAGCTATCTCCCTGTGCATAAGCAGCCCTTCCTTCTCCCATGATTGTTCTCTCCAGGGCGTGTGTCTACTTGAGGTAAATGTTTAACTCACATGCCTGTACTTTGTTTGGCTGGAAACCACAGTTGTGGGTTCAATTCCAGACCTGCAGGGCAGCTAGGGGCCATAGTCTCAGTGGTTCCACCAGGCTCTATTGGACCAGCAAACCTGGTCCCCACCTTCTTTTTATTTATTTATTTATTTTGCCTCCAAGTGATTTTGAGTTTTGTTCCACATTGTTCTCCCTCTTTATGCAGGATCTCCTACACCCCTTCCAAGTGGATGGCAGTGGTAGCTGGGCACCATCTAGTTCTTCTGGTCTCATAGTTGTATAGGTTGCAGATCGGATGGTGTACCAGTCGCTAGGACTGATTGTTTCCATTAATTTTGGTTTTCTTCTTTCTTCTTGACGAGGAGAGACCCGTTGTTGCATCTAGATGGCAGCTTCCTAGCTTTTAAGGTCCCAGTCGCTACTCGCCAAAGTAGTAGGTGGAACAATGTTTTGTATAGTATGTTATGCCAATTGAGCTTGATGTCCCCTGCGACTATGGTCCCAAGCCCGCAGGATCAACTACTCGGTCCCTCTGGGTAGCTGGCTGTGACCAAGTAATGACCATAACCTTGCCCCTTGTCAGCTCTACTATACACCTGGGAATTCTGATCATTCACATGAACTTATAGGCCCATTGTCTGCCAACCCTATATATAATCTTGGATACACTCTCCATTTAGACATACCTAATTGTTTAGCTTGTTCACCCATCTATCCGTCTCTATACCCATGTTTGCTTTCACTGACAACTCAGTACTGTATATGCAAAGGGGTTCATATTTGTTGTCTGTACTGCCCATGTAACTCTCTATGTCTTTCTCATCCTCAATGCTGCCATATTGGTCACTCACATTTGGTACATTGCCCTTCTCTTCACCCAAATCAATATTTATCTCTATCTATCTAACAGCATTCCCTCCCCTTCCCTCCCACCCCTGGTAACCAACAAAGAAAATGTCCTCCAATATATAAACCTTTCCTTAATCACTCAAGTATTTTTAACACAATTTACATATTAAGTAATCCTTGTAGAAAGGCTGCATGTGTTATGTCACTTTCCACACCAGAACGCCTTTATGTAATCCATGGGATGGGTTTTACAGGCATATGCTCCTGTTTCAAGTACTTTCATTAGCTTTTCTTGAAATAAGTCTTTGCTGGATTTTAACCATTTTGTTTGTTTTTTCTTTCTTCATGAAGACCAGAAGATGAGATGTTTTTAAAAAGACTTTCTAGAAGTTACTTGGTGGGAAAGGACCCCAAAGCTTCCTTGTTCTACAAAGAAGAAGGAAACAAAAAATTTCAGGAGAAAGATTATATGGGAGCCGCATTGTTGTACTCTAAGGTAAGACACTCCCAGCCCAGCAGGAGGCGTTACTCAACAATTTAATACTGCATATTTCTTCAGAAGATGGAGCTGGTTGCTGAGTATTATAGTCAGTGTTAGCTCTTTGCCTGCAATTTGTTGTTTGGATTTGGAACAGAAAATCTGGCAGAATTCTGCTTTTGGTTATATTCTAAACCAAAGGGTAGTTTCTATTACATTTATGTCCTGAATGCCATCAAGAAACTTGTGTTCCTCTATTCCTTTCCCATATTCCTTCAGACGCCTTGTAGCAATGTTTATTGTACCTCTCGCCCTGCCTTGTTCATGTCTGTCAGCTCTCATTGAGTTGTATGCCTTTTCTGTCTGAATGACTGATGAAGGCTATTAGTTTGATAGTCCTGGTTTAGAGAACAGCTAGATCTTGGTTAGCCACAGTGCTAGCTTGCAACCAGTATACTTTAGACTCAGAAAGAAAAATGAGTTCATTGTCCACGGCCCAATTGAACTCCATTTTGAAGTTCTAATGTTATACTAGGGTGCTCTGGTAATATAGTGCCTAAGGCACTTGACTGCAAACTAGAAGGCTGGCAGGTCATACCCACCGGCCACTCCTCGGAAGGAAGGTTGGGCAATCTACTTCCGTAGTGATACTGCCTCAGAAGCCCAAGGAGGGGTCACTATGAGTCGGGTCTGACTTGATGGCAAATAACAACAGTGTTACACTAACAGGAGTGGCAGTCAACAAATATTTGTTTTGTGATTATAGTTTAACTATCACCAAGCTAGGTTTTGAGGAGGAATCATGGCTTTCAACAGTCTGTTGCTCTTACTGTCCTGCTTCCATAGTAGGAACTAGAACAAGATCCCCTGAGAGACTTCCTTCCCTAACTTCTAAGAGATGTATATGAGCTTAAAGCAACAGTGTACCAATTCCTGTTCTGTGATTTACTATATTGGAAAATATATATTTACTGTGTTTAAAAAAAATAATAAGTAGAAATTTAAAGGGTACTCCAACTCTGAATCTTGAATAAGCCTGTTCTTGAAGTTTGGAATTATTTTTCCAAAAACCGTCAGACCTACAGCAGTAGCTTCTCTAGCTGATGGAAGCCTGCTGTGTAGTGTTACAACAAAGTATTTAGCTAAATAATGTAAGCTTTAGTGATTGCTGAAGGATTAAAATCTATTAGATTTAACAATCCAGTGATAAATGGCTTAATAGTTCTTTATCAGAGCTAATGTCTTTGACTTTATACATGTGCATCATTAATAAGATCACATGGGAAATTCAAGAACAGGTAAAATGAATAGTGAAGTCAGACAAAAGCTTAAGGTCTGCTCTGGTATGGAGGAAGATGAGCCCTCCTGTTTCATACAGCTAGTATTTTGGTGATTATGGTACTTTGCAATTTTATATAAAGCTGCTATTTTCTTTTTTAAAATAGTATTTGTTGGTTTTGTCCAATTGTAAAGGTAATACATGTTTACGTTGGAAAATGTAGAGAAGCATGAAGAGTAAGAAAACTCCCATAACTAGTGATAGGCATTGTTAACGTTTTTGCTGCTATCCATCCAGTCAGACTTTTTCCTCTGAAATATGTTTTTCTTTTACAAAATTGGGATAATGCTGTACTTACTATTTTGTAACCTGCTTTTTCCCTCAACAATTTATTGTGACCATTTCTTCATGTTATTAAGTTTTCTACTAGAACATGACTTTTTACGACTGGCTTAATGTTCCATTACAGAGAAGTACTGTACTTGATTTAATATCTCCTAACCCTGGCAAGAGGAGCCCTGGTAGCACAGTGGTTAAGGCTCTGGGCTGCAAACCAAAAGGTTACCGGTTTGAATCCACCAGCCTTTCTGCAAGAGAAGGATGTAGCAGTCTGCTGCCTTAAAGATATACAGCCTTAGAAATCTTGTGGGGCAGTTCTGCCCTGTCTTATAGGGTCATTAGGAGTCGGAATTGACTCAGTGGCAGTCGGTTTCGTTTTCCTTTTTGGATAATGTTGGCAGAAGGAGCTCTGATGGCACAACGGTTAAAGTACTCGGCGGCTAACTGGAAGATCGGCTGTTAGAACCCACCAGCCTCTCTACAGCAGAAAGATGTAGCAGTCTGTTTCCTAAAGATTTCAGCTTTGGAACCCCTGTGGAGCAGTTCTAGTCTGTCCTATAGGGTCGCTAGGAGTCAGAATAAGCTCAGTGGCAATGGGTTTTTCAGTTTTGGAATAGTGACAAGTGGTATGGTATCATAATGCTGCAGTGAACATCTTTCTATTTAAATATTTATAGATATCTGATTATTTCCTTAAAGTCAGTTCCTCAAAGGACAACTGCTGGGTCAACAGAAAGTGTTTCTTAAGGCCTTTGGTACTCCATGCAGAATTTTTCTCCAAAAACGAACTAGTTAACATCCCCTCTCACAGAGTATGGAAATGTTCATTTCTCCATATCCCAAGCAAATACTGGTTGTTACAGTTATATTACTACTAGTAGTAGTAATAGTTACAGTTCTTTTTAAAAAGAAATAGTTTCACAGTTAGAATTCAAAAGGTGAAAGAGTAGACAATGAAGTCTACTTCCTGTCACTTAACCACCTCACCTAGTTTCTCATTCCTGTTAAACTACCAACTGTTAAATGTATGGGAGCTCTGGTGGCATAGAGCCTAAAGCATCTGACTGCTAACCAGAAGGCTGGTGGTTCAAACCCGCCAGCCACTTCTTGGAAGGAAGGTTAGGCAATCTACTTCCATAGTGATACCGCCTTAGAAACCCAAGGAGGGGTCACTATGAGTCATATTTGACTCCATGGCAGTGAGTTTGGTTTGGTTTATTAAATGTATGTTTCCAGAGATATTTAAATGTGTGTACAAATAAGTACAAATGATCTTCCCATGAACACAAACTCTTTACTTAAATGATAGCATTCTACATACACCATTTTGCATCATGCTTTTTTCACTTAATAATCTTGAAGATCATTCCACATCAGTACATAAAGAATTTCCTCATTCTTTTTTGTGGCTGCATGATATTTCATTATATGGATATAGTGTAATTTATTGTATTATAGTATCATGATGAAATTTGCAGTGACCTGGAGTTAGCAAACCAAAAGAGAAGAACCCGCTCAGCATTTCTCAAGCTGTGAAAGAGCTGAAGAAAAAATTCAGCCAACCTACACTGAAGGAATCGTCAAAAAATACAGCTCTAGGAATTGACGGAATACCAGTTGTTTGAACAAACAGAGCTCTGGAGGCACATCCTCATTTATGCCAAGAAATTTGGAAGACAGCTACCTGGCCAACCGACTGGAAGAGATCATTATTTGTGCCCATTCAGAAGAAAGGTGATCCAACAGAATGTGGAAATTATCTAGCTATATTATTAATATCACATGCAAGTAAAACTTGGCTGAAGGTAATTCAAAAATGGTTGCAGCAGCATATTGACAGGGAACTGCAGAAATTCAAGCTAGATTCAAAAGAGAACGTCAAACAAGGGATGTCATTGCTGATATCAGATGAGTCTTGGCTGAAAGCAAAGAATACCAGAAAGATGTTTGTTGTTACGTGCCGTTGAGTAGGACCTGACTCATAGCAACCCGTCCTTGGGTTTCTGAGGCAATATCACTACGGAAGTAGATTGCCCAACCTTCCTTCTGAGGAGTGGCTGGTGGGTTTGAACCGCCAGTCTTCTGTTTAGCAGTCATGTGCCTTAGGCACTATGCTACCAGAGCTCCTAGAAGATGTTTACCTGTGTTTAATTGACTATGCAAAGGCATTCGACTGTGTGGATAACATTGAGTAGAATGGGAATTCCAGAACACCTAATTGTGCTCATGAGGAACCTGCGCATAAACCAAGAGACTGTTGTTCACATGGAACAAGGGGATACTGCATAGTTTAAAATCAGGAAGGGTGTGTGTCAGGATTGTATCTTTTCACCAAATTTATTCAATCTGTATGCTGAGCAAATAATCCAAGAAGCTGGATTATGAAGAACGTGGTATCAGGATCAGAGGCAGGTTCATTAAAAACCTGTGGTATGCAGGTACACAACCTGTTTGCTGAAAGGATCAGAGGCAGGTTCATTAAAAACCTGTGGTATGCAGGTACACAACCTGTTTGCTGAAAGTGAAGAAAACTTGGGAGCACTTACTGATAAAGATAAAAGATTACAGTCTTCAGTATGGATTACACCTCAACATAAAGAAAACAAAACTCCTCACAACTGGACCAGTAAACGACATCATGATAAATGGAGAAAAGATTGAAGTTGTCAAGGATTTCATTTTGGATCCACAGTCAGCACCCGTGGAAGCAGCAGTCAGGAGATCGGGCAGCACGTTGCACTGGGCAGACCTACTGCAAAAGACCTCTTTAAAGCATTGGGGAAAGAGATGTCACTTTGAGGACTCAGGTGCACCTAACCCAAACCATAGTATTTTCAGTTGCCTCATATGCATGTGAAAACTGACAGTGAATAAGGAAGACTGAAGAAGAGTTGGTGCCTTTGAATTGTGGTGCTGGTAAAGAACACTGAAAATACTATGGACTGCCAGAAGAATGTCTGGTCTGGAAGAAGTGTAGCTAGATGCTCTTTAGAAGCAAGAATAGCCAGACTTCCTCTCACCTACTTTTATCATGTTGTCAGAAGGAACCAGTCGCTGGAGAAGGATATCATGCTTGGTCAAGTAGAGGGTCAGCAAAAAGGGAACCCTCAAGGAGATGGATTGGCATAGTGTCTGCGACAATATGCTCGAGCATAGCAGGGATTGTAGGATGGTGCAGGACCGGGCACCTTCTCGTGTACATAGGGTCACTATGAGTTGAAGCCAACTCAACGGCACCTAACAGCAACGGTTATATAACTACTGTCCTGTGGATTAGCATTTAGATTATTTCCTATCATTTGCTATTTCAAACAATTCTGTGATAAGAAACTTGACACATATGTCATTTTGCACATATCTATAGGATAAATAATTGTATTTGTAAAATAAATTCCTAGAAGAGGAATTGCTGAGTCAATAAAATATGTATTTATAATTTTGGTATCTATTGCTAAATTACCCTCCTTAATATAGGACACTGCCACTGGCAACATATGGCACTGCCCATTATCTCACCCTCTTGGCAACTCAATGTGTTATTAATTTTTTTTATTTATTTGCAAATCTGATAAGTAAAAAATGGTATCTCGATAGAGTTTTAATTTGCATTAACTGATTATGAATGCAGTTGAGCAGTTTTCTATGTGTTTAAGACCCATCTGTATTTCCCGTACGAACTGTTCTTACCATTGCTCATTTTCCTACTAGATTACTTGTTGTCATCTTATTAATTTTTGTAAGAGCTCTTGTGATAAAGAAATTAGCCCTTTGCCTGGGATAAGACTTGCAAACATTTTTTTTTTTTCCAGTTCATTGTTTGTCTTTTGATATTTCTTTTACTGGTTTTTGCTGTGAGGAAATTTTTTAATTTTTATGTGGTCAAATTTATTAACCTTATTTTCTTAAGATTTGTGGGTTTTATGTCATAGTTAGAAAAGAATTCCTCACACCAACATTAACATCACTGTAGACTGTTCCTACAGTTTCTTCTAGTGCTTCTATGGTTTAATTGTTTACATTAAGAGTTTAACCCTTTTGGCGTTTATCCTAATGAAGGGTTTATGGTGTAGAGAGCCAACTTTATTTTTTCTCAATAGTTGCTTACTTGTCCCAACGCTTTTATTAAATGATCCCCACCTTTTCTCCAGTAATTATAAATTTTATGATTACGATTAATCCTTGCCAAAAAAAATATCCCTTTGTGCTCTAATTTTCGTGTATTTGACTGTCGGTGAAGTAATTGACCGTTTGTTTTCCATATCTGATTAACTGTTTATGTTCCTTCTGTTGTGAATTCCTATTTGTGCCATTTGTCCTTTTTTATGTGCAGAGTTATGCTTGCAGATACTTTCCTCAGTTTTTCATTTACTTTCAAGTGTTGTCTAGACTTTGAATATCTATTTCCTCACAACTATGTTCTGAGTTAGTTAGAAATGAAGCTAAAACACAAAGAAGCTCGGTAACTTGTCCAATTTCAGATAGTCTTTAGTAATAGAGCACCTGTTACCTGAAAAATTTCTTTATACCTTCAATCCATCCATTGTTTTGCAGGGAGTAGCACATTCAAGCCCTACCACTGAGGATATCTCGCTTTGTTATGCCAATCGCTCTGCAGCCCTCTTCCACCTCGGTCAATATGAAGTGAGTATTGGGATGCCTGATGTTATCAGAGAGAATCTTTAGGGGGTTCACTTGAGGACTGCTTCAGTACTACGTCTTCACCTCTGTTTCTGCATTACAAAAACCAAACTCACTACCGTTGAGTCAGTTCCAACTCATAGTGACCCCTCCTTGAGTTTCTGAAGCTGTATCTCTACGGAAGTAGATTGCCCAGTCTTCCTTCCTAGGAGTGGCTGGTGGGTTTGAACTGCCACCCTTCTGATTAGCAGTCCAGTGCCTTAGGCACTACACCACCAGAGCTCACTAAAATCAGGCCATGCTGTAGGTGGTTGGATTGGAAGTACATCGATACCCACTGTTTACTTATTTATTGCTACTATAACAGAAGTACCACAAGTGGATGGCTTTAACAAACAGAAATTTATTCCCTCATGGTTTAGGGGGCTAAAAGCCTGAATTCAGGGTGCCAGCTCTAGGGAAAGGATATTTCTCTCTCTTTTGGCTCTAGGGAGAGGTTCTCATCTCCTTTTAGCATCTGTAGGTTCAGTGTTCCTTGGGAATCTCCATGTATCTTGGCATCAGTCTTGCCCTGAGTCTAGGAGGTTCTAAGCGCAGGGATCCCTGGTTCAGAGGACACGCTCTCCTCCTGGCTTTTCTTTCTTGATGGTAGTCACATCCCTTCTCTCTGCTTGCTTCTTCTTTTGTCTCTTCTAAAATAAGAGGTACGACTTGAACAAGGGTGTGATGAGTGAATGTGGTGACTTACGTACTTGAGTAAGGATGATCACTTGATTAAGGAGCTCTAGTGGCGCAGTGGAGCTCTGGTGGCGTAGTGCCTAAGGCATTTGACTGCAAACCAGAAGGTTGGCGGTTCAAACCCACCAGCCACTCCACAGAAGGAAGACTGGGCAATCTAGTTCCATACAGATTTACCTCCTTGGAAACCCAAAGGGGTTTGCTATGAGTCAGAATGGACTCGATGGCAGTGAGTTTGGTTTTTTGGTTTGAGTGGCACAGTGGTAACAGCATTGGGCTGCTAACCAAAATGTTGGCGGTTCAAACCCGCCAATCACTCCATGGGAGAAAGATGAAGCAGTCTGCTTCTATAAAGATGTACAGCCTTGGAAACTCTATGAGGTAGTTCTTCTCTGTCCTGTAAGGGCACTGTGAGTTGGAATTGACTTGATGGCAGTGGATTATGATCTTTTGAGTAAGGGTGTGATGCAAGATAAAACCCACCCTAATCCTTCCTCATTAACATAAGTTGTTGTTGTTCTTAGATGCCATCAAGTCAATTCCAACCTATAACGAACCTATGTAGAGCAGAACAAAACATTGCCCAGTCTTGTGCCATCCTCACCGTCATTGCCATACTTGACCCCTTGTCATAGCCCCTGTGCCAATCCATCTCGTTGAGGGTCTTCCCCTTTCTTGCTGACCCTCTACTTTACCCAGCATGACCAAAGTATGAGAGGTAAAGTCTGGCCATTCTCACTTCTGAGGTGCATTCTTGGCTGAACTTCCTCTAAGACAGATTAATTCATTCTTCTTGCAGCCCACACTACAGTCAGTATTCTTCACCAACACCACAATTCAAATGCATCAATTTTTTTTGTGTTCTTCCTTACTCATTATCCATCTCTCGCATCCATATAAAGCTATTAATACCATGGCTTGGGTCAGGTACACCTTGGTCTTCAAAGTGACATCTTTGTTCTTTAACACTTTAAAGAGAAAGAAGTATTTTGCAGCAAATTTGCCCGATGCGATACATTAATTAATTTCTTGACTGGTGCTTCCCTTGGCATTAATTATGGATCCAAGTAAAATGAAATCTTTGACAATTTCAGCCTTTTCTCCATGTATTATGATGTTGCATATTGGTCTAGTTGTGAGGATTTTTGTTTTGTTTTGTTTTCTTCATGCTGAGATGTAATCTATACTGTCTTTGATCTTCATCAGTAAGTGCTTTAAGGCTTTTCAGTTTCAGCAAGCAAGGTTGTGTCATCTGCATATAGCAGGTTAATGAGTCTTCCTCCAATCCTGATGCTGTATTCTTCTTCATGTAGTCTAGCTTCTCAAATTACTTGCTCAGCATATAGATTAAATAAGTATGGTGAAATGATCCAGCCCTGACACACACCTATGCTGATTTTAAACATACAGAGGTTTAAAGTTTACAACATTAACATATAGAGGTTAGGATTTATAACACATATCACAAAATGGAGGATAATTACATCAGATCCCAATATGGAGGATAACCACACAATATTGGGCATCATGGCCTAGCCAACTTAACATATATTTGGGGGAGAGACAATTCAGTCCTTGGCACCCACCCTAGCTGTTCTTTCCCTTGATTTATTTTTCCTGTCACAGGTGATCATTCAGGGTTGTGTTGGTTGACAAGAAAGTTATGGTACATGCCACATAGTCATGGACTGTATCCACGAGGTCTGCAGTTCTCAGTGTCAAGATCAGTTGTACGATGACATTGCTAATAATAGTTCAGGTTCCAAGTGTTTGCAAACTGTTTGCTTGGTTTTTCTTTTAAACAAGTAGAAGAACATGTTTAAGGTTAGTCCTGTAATGATACAGCTCACCCTCATTAGCTTTTCTCAGTGGGAAAGTGTCAAAAGGGTGTGGTGGTGGAGACATCTGACCTCTAACTTCACAGAGAGGAGACTGTTTAAGATAAACATCAACAGCCAGGGCTGATTCCTGTGAGGCAGAGGTCAGACATACTGCCACCTTCCTAACTTTTTTTTTTTTTACACCAATTCTGACACCAACCATCCTACTTCCGTAGTGATACTGCCTCGGAAACCCAAGGAGGGGTCGCTATGAGTCAGGGCTGACTCGACGGCACATAACAACAACAACAACAAATCACTATGGAAGTAGGATTGCCCAACCTTCCTTCCGAGGAGTGGCTGGTGGGTTTGAACCGCCAGCCTTCTGGTTAGCAGTCAAGTGCCTTAGCCACTATGCTACCAGAGCTCCCAAAAATTTTTAGTAAGATAATTAAACATAATTTCCTTAACAAGTATTATTAGTCACTCAATTAAAAGGTCACAGAGGTAAAACATGATTTAAAGAAATAAACGTGTGGTTATTATTGCTCTGTTTTTAATGACTCTTAACTTTCCTGTAGAATTTTTTTAAGAATTTTCAATAGACATTGAAGAGTAGGAACCAAAGGTCATTTTGGAGTTTCCTTTCTGTTTGCAGACATGTCTTAAAGACATCATCAGAGCACAGAAGCATGGATATCCAGAAAGATTGCAACCCAAGTTGATGTTGCGTAAGGCGGAGTGTCTGGTGACCCTGGGGAGGCTACAGGAAGCAAGCCAAACCATCAGTGATCTTGAAAGTATCTTCAGTGCCAAACCAGCACTAACAGCTTCCCACTTCCAGGTTTTGCAGAAAAACCTCCATCATCTGAAAGTAAAGATACAAGAAAAGGAGACTCTCTCAGAAACCTTCCCAGCAGATCTGACCAAAGCTTTTAAGGATATGGACCTCAAAGAAGAGAATGAGCAAATTCCCAATGCATCACCATCCATCAGCTTATGTACAGACCCTTCAAAAGGCCGCTATCTGGTTGCCACAAAAGATATTCTCCCAGGAGAGGTCCTAGTGAAGGAAAATGCTTTTGTGAGTGTCCTTAACCCAGGAGCAATACCACAGCTACACCATGGCCTAGGGAGCAAATGGAACACCAGAGTCACCAATGGGGACCTCTACTGTCACCGATGTTTGAAGCATACTTTGGCCTTAGTTCCCTGTGATCAGTGCAGCTATGCCAAATATTGCAGCCAAAAGTGCAGGAAGCAGGCCTGGGAGCTGTACCATGGTGCCGAGTGTCCTCACGGGGGGCTGCTGCTCACACTGGGTGTCTTCTGCCACATTGCCCTGAGAGTGACTCTTCTAGCTAGGTTTGAAGATGTTGGTAAAGTCATAAGGAAGCTTTGTGGTGGGATTAGTAGCGTGGACACTTGTTTACCTGAAGGTGAGAATATGCACTATTCATTCAACTATGATCTTGAGGAAAATGAAGAAAATGGTAGAATAGTTGAGACCCTAATTCCCGGATGTGATGTTAATGGGAAATATGAAAATAATTACAATGCTGTCTTGAACCTTTTGCCCCACACTGAAAAGCATAACCCAGAGCACAAATTCCTCTGTGCTCTAAGTGTTGCTGCGCTGTGCAGGCAGCTGGAAGCAGCCGGTTCACAGACCTTCACACCAGGTCTGCAGCCCTCTGTGCCGAAAGCAGCAGTGACGCCCGTGTTGTCTGCAGAGGTGAATATTTGGGGAGTAGCAATGCTGAGACACATGTTACAGCTACAGTGTAATGCCCAGGCAATCACTACCATCCAACACACAGGTAAGAGGGAAACTGATTCTGCTGCCTTGCAATATAGCTTTTGATGTAGCTGATACTTGGGGAGAAAGAACTATACAGGAAAACAGTAGCCTTCAAACAAATTGGTGTCTGACAGGAAAACCCAGCTGCCTTCTGTGATCAGCATTGTGCCATTGAGAAGCTTTATGATGTAAAGAAATCACTGACCCCACTCTGCCTTAGTTTTCTCTTATGTAAAGTGGGTAGTTTAGTCCCATTTAACTTTACAGAGTTGTGAGGATGATGTATTTGTAAAAATAATTTTAAAAGTTAAAAGCATTATTTCTGAGGTGTTTTTGTGGTGGAAGACTGACTCAAGTGAACAGTAATAGCAGGTTTGTTAATAAGGGCAATACACAAGACTTCAGAGAAAGCGCAATAGTTATCTCCTTAGGAAAGGCAGAAATAATTATCAAGCCAGACTGTATGAAGAGCAGGGCCTGTAGTTGTGTGAGGTGTCAGAATCTTAACTCACTCGTGACTCGTCTTCTCTTCAAGTCTTCTATTTACAATGGACACATTCTTCCTATTCTTTGATTTTAAATTTCCAAAAACAGAATTGGGCCGAGCACACCACTTCACACTCCATTACACCATAAGCTGTTGGCCAACCTATATGTGGGCTGTCCTCTGGTCAGGTGGCCAGCCCACACCATGGAGAGGCCAACTCTAGGCCAGACCAGCCTACATCTGCTTTTCTGAACCCAGCCCTGTAGATAAAGCTCTTTAAATTAGATGAGGAGGTTGGCTGTGCCCAGTCTCATCTCCAGTATAACTATACTGACAAAGGTACAACTATTGTTAGAAATTGTGTTTCTAGTATTAATAATGTATGATCTACATTTTTTCAGAAAGTGTCTTTCAATCCAACCAATTCATTATATATTTTTTTTCTTAATTTTCTAGTTAACTCTTTGTGGGGAGAGGACTGCAGGTTAACTTAACATATAATTTATGGGCATATTAATATTAAACGTGGCTTAACTAAACTATGGATGCATAACTCTTTTCATACCAAAAAAAAACAAACTCATTGCTGTCAAGTCAGATCCGACTCATAGCGACCCCCCCTTGGGTTTCCAAGGCAGTATCACAACAGAAGTAGATTGCCCAACCTTCCTTCCAGGAGTGGTTGGTGGATTTGAACTGCCAGCCTTTTGGTTAGCAGTCACATGCCTTAGGCACTATGCCACCAGACCTCCCAACTCTTTTCATATTACTAGAAAATCAAACCAAACTTACTGCCATCTGGTCAGTCCCAAAACATAGTGACTCTATAGGACAGAGTAGAGTTCACCCTTGGGGTTTCCAAGGCTGTACTCCTTAGAAGTGAGGATGGTGAGACTTCATCTCATGTACTTTGAACATGTTATCAGGAGGGACTAGTCCCTGGAGAAGGATGTCATACTGCAGTGTAGTAAATTACTTAGTGTGGCTTTTCTACCCATAAGTCTTTGTAAACTCCAAGGTGGGATTTTCTATGAGCAACTGAGGAGCTATCCACCTGGGTTATTTCTGTTGGGCGTGGCACAATACAATGTTCTGGGAGGTTCCCACTCTCTCATGTGCTTAGAGTTCTG